TGCCATTGCCATGAAGAACTGAGCTTCAAGTTTTGCTAAGTTGGAGAAGAAGATTGCACAAAGGAGGTATTGCTCATATTCCTAAATAGACCTAGGTGAATCTTGAGCTTGGTTGTATTTCCTTTGTAAGAATCTTTTTCTACTTAGTGGATTGCCTGGTCGGTTGATGACTCCCAGTTTTTCCCAATGGTGGGTTTCTGGGTGAACAAAATCTGTTTTGCATATCTGTAATTTTTTTTGGGTTTGTGTTCTTGGTGGTTGACTAGTCATCGTATGAATTCTGGGTTTGTGTTCTTGTAGTTAACTAGTTATCATTATCTGTTGTTTGGTGTTTACTTGATTATGATGATTTCACACACTTTCACTATAGTTGTTGCTAGCACAGAGGATGCCTAGATTGACGGGTCCTTCTAAGTGCCTAAGTTGTCACTAGTAATCTTCTAGAGTTGCAGGTACATTGTAGCATGCTCTGTGTGTATTCTTGATTGTGATTATTCATGACTAGCAGTTGACTAGTCATAAGTGTATTTGGTCAAGGTCTAAAGTGTGTGAAGATTGTTGCGTTTTGTTTAAGTGTCGTAAAATTTACCCCTTGTCACCTAAGTACCAATTTCACAATGACTTATGTTTCATAAACAATGAATTAAAAGCCATGTCATTTAGACCGGGAATGAAAGTAATTGGTTGAAATATAGTTGCCTTTTTTATATGCGAGGCGCTTTCTTCTTGGTCTTTGCCCAAAAAAAAAACTTTCTTCTTGGTCATTGTAAATAACACAAAAATAAAACTTATGTAACTCTCGTTTATATAGGTTTGGGAAATTTGCATAAATACCACCTGAACTTTTAGGCATGTGCACTATTACCACCTAAACTTTTAATTTTTATTATTAACCACCTGAATTTTATAGAGTGTTGCAATGTACCACCTATATCCAACTCTATTAAACTTTCCGTTAAGTTTAAGGACAATTCCATCAATTCACTATAACTAAAAGACTTGACATTTTAAAACTAACAAATTTAAATAATAAAATAATAAACCTAACCTAATTATCGTTCCCCACCCCTTCCAACACAAATTCTTCCCCATTGCCTAGCTGCCTCCCCACCCTCTCTGCATACACCCTACTTCATATCCCTATCTCTCTCCACCGAATCTATAAAATATTTGGTGTGGGTTGTTGAAGAGTTGAAGGCCAACTCGAAGGTGCATTACTCATACGGATTAATCAGCCCCTTCTCTCATTAGTCATGGTAATGTTTAGAGATGGGATTCCTTGCCTCTACTGATTAAGCTTTTTTTTTGGGAGGTATTATGTTGTCGCTTTATGCTCGTGGTGGCTTGATTTACTGGGAGGCTTGCTTGTTGTACTTCTCTGTATGCTATTGCCCTTTCTTGTATGGTTTTTTCGTGTATTTCCGTTTTGACTTTTGAACGAAATTTCACCTTATGAATAATTAAAAAAAGAACATAATTGAATGCCAAATTAATTTAAATGTTTGAAGATCCATGAAATCCATCTCCCCAAAAGCCTGGATATATGTAGAGGGTGGGGGAGGGGTCTAATGGGAAAGGGGGAAAGTTGTTGAATGGATGGGAGAAACCATGGGATAATTTAGGTTAGGTTTTTAATAAAGAACAAAAATTATTAATTATAAATTCTGTTAGTTTTAAAAATGTT